GTGTCTAATGGGACACTGTGGCCTGTCATAGCAACCGGCCAGCTAGCGCCAGACCTGAGGGGTATCTCCCCACGTTTGCTGACCAAATGACTGTAGGTGAAAAGCAAGGAGTGAAAGACCCTCGTCACTCACAGCCCCTCTGGTTTCCATGCAGATGCCTTCTCCGATTTCACGCTGGCCCGCCAGGGCTACCCACGGATGGCGTTCTCGGCCTGCTTTGGTGGCATCATTTTCAGTATCCTTCTTGGGGCTGCCAAGCCATCTCAGCGCTGGTGGCACGGGCTCTGAGAGCCATGGTTGTGCTCCACGGCCACCCTCGGGCTGGGCTCTCGCTGTGACACCTGGGCCAAGCAATGTGGCCCCTGGATCCTCAGCTGCCTCAGCTGTGAAATGGGTTTATCGAGAGAAATCCCCTCCGAAGGGCTGTTGGAAAGGTTGGATGGGATGACAGAGATGCTTGGCACCTGGTAAGCGCCGAGCGCCTGGCAGATAGATCACCGTCAGGGCTCCGGTGAGTAGCAGGTGCCCCCACGCTGAGCTGACGTGAGCCCCGTGGGACCCCCTCTCCCTCTTGCTTCTGGATCGTGGTCTCCAGGTGCCAGGAGTCAGGTGCTTCTTCCTAAAGGTCCAGAGATGACATATTCACAGGCCTGAGGGCCTCTTTGGCAACACTCAGCTCTGCTGAGCTAAGTGTGAGAACAGTCACAGGCAACACAAACAAAGAGGTGTGTCTCTGTTCCAACAAAACTCATTTATAAAAGTGAGCCCGGGGCCAGTGGGCCTGCAGATGGGGTGAGGCAGCGGGGTGGGGGTGGGCTGTGGAAAAGGAAGAGCTTCGAGACCAGTCAGTCTTGGGTTCCGGTTCCAGCGCCTCCCCGTGCACCATGGGCCTTTGCACACACCTGCCGGTCTCCTCTGTTAGGGAAAAACGCGTTGTGGTGAAGACCGATGAGGAAGTGAAGCGCCCAGGAGAGCGGCCAGCCTGTGGCACACATTCAACAAGTGGTAGAGAGTTTGGTTGTGAAATAAAGCGGCGTTATTTAACCGCACTGAAGGGCCGTTCTCCCCAAGCTCCACAAGGAAGGGGCCTGCGGGGATGCGGTAGTTCAGGCAGCCGGCAGAGCGGGGTCAGAATTGGTGGGGACCCTGCAGGCGGACCTGCTGTGGCCCTTTTGTTCCCACTGAGAGGTGCTCCTGTCTCTGGCCTCTCCTGACCTCTCAGGTTGGGGTGGGAGGGGGTGTCCTGCCTGGAGCAGGGTCCCCTGAACAACCCCTAGGGGTGGCCTTGACCTGTGCTCCATCACCAGTCCCCCGATGGGCGAGGGCAGTCACTACCTTACCTGGCCCCAGTTTCTCCATCTACTGAACGCTCAGCAGGTACCAAGCATCTCTGTCACCTCATTCAGTCCCCGCAGACTGAGTGCAAACGCCCACTGGACACGCAGCCTCTTGGCGGTGCTACAATGGGCTAGGGTCTCAGGTAGGGTTTTGGGTGGCTGGGTGGGGGCGACAGGTCATGAAGAAAGTCGACGGGCTGTGTGGTCGGGTTGCTCCTGCGGTTTTCCTGAGCCAGGCTGCAGATGTCCTGGTAGGAGTGGGGCTGGGCTGCCTGCTCCAGATCTCCAGGGGCCACCCGGAGGTGAAGGTGAGTGGCCGGGTGCTTCTGCCGGGGACCTCTGCACAACACATTTTCCTGTTCCTCTTCCGGTCCTCCGGATGGGGGACCCTTCACACCTGAGCACTTGGCACTTTCCGGGAGATCTAAGTCTGTGACAAGTCTGACACCTTTAACATATTTTACATGTAGGATTGAAACATGTATTCCTTACGGATTCACACAGCAATGAGATGTAGCTTTGGGGGAAGGGGCAGAAAGTGCCTGAATTCCGGTGTAGGTCCCATCAGCTGAGTCTCTTACAGTAGGACTTAGAATGAGTTAGGAAATCTGAGCCTCAGTTTCCTATCCTATGAAATGGGGCTGATGGTGCCCCCCCTCCCACCCACCCACCTTTCCGGACAGCACGTGTGAGCTACGGGCTGGGCTGATCACTTTATCCCGACACGGCCCACACAGGACGCGCCAGGAAGCCGCCCTGTGTTGAGGGAAGGCACCCTAAAAGCAGGGCCCAACAGATTTGGAGAAGGCTCCGAACCACATTAGGGGAAAGAGGTGCTCCCACTTCAAAAGCATCTGAGCATTTCCTGGGGGCCCAAGAGACCTCCTGGCCCAGGCATTGGGGGGGGGGGGGCTGGGAACTTGCATTTTAAGATGAGCTCCTTGGAGACTGGTGAAGGTGGAAAATTCAGATGCTGCCGGAACTGGCTGGTCGTCAAAATGCACGGGCAATTCAGGTGGGCCTCAGGTGACCTGATAGCCCAGACTTTCTAAAGAAGTTGAGGTTCCTATGTGAACTTGTTCTGTTTTAAAATATTGCACAAGGCAACTGCGCCCCACTCACAGTAGCAAGTTGACACCCCTACCCACGCATCTCAGTGCTGACGGCCCTGAATGCAGAGACCAACAAGGGGAGGTGAAGATGGGGGGATGTGGCCTAGGGATGGTTTCGGGGCACAGCCTGTGCTTGGAAAGTCCCAAGGCCCAGGGTTGGCCTTCTGCATGGGAACAAAGCCGTCTCCACCTCTAGGTCTTGAGTAGGCCCTTGTGGCCGACTAGTAATAACTACTTTAGCTGGCAGGACGGTGGGCTTTCACAGTGGCCACGCCCAGAAGCAAACAGCTACTTATCCTCGCTTGACAAGTTTGCCTTTTTCAAAGGTAAACATGGTCTGCGAATTTTGTTTGTACTCTTCCTGGGTTTAATGGTTCCTTTCGTTATCCATTCTCTGGCAGCTCCATTTAGTGGGGCTCTAGGGCGGGCCCCCTGAGGGACCGGTCTCTTTTCTGGTGTTCCTTGTTGACTGCGTGTTCCGTGTTCCTGTGGATGGTATGTGCCTTCCAGCACCCACCACGGAGGGTCCACGGCCCAGAGTGCCTTCGGGGGCAAAACACAGGTTGCTCTTAACCATGCACTTGCTGTACCAGCCCCGTTCCCAGGTTGGAGGCACGTGCCTACATGCGTGTGCACCCACACACGTCACTGTGTGGGGAGACAGGACAGGGCGTGGCTTCCGAGCTGGGACTTCCATCTGGGCTCAGTCACTTGCGCGGTGTCCTCATCTGTGGACGGGGGTCAGGGGGATGAGGGGCTGTAGGTGTTAGATATAAGCTAAGTCTAGAAGGCAGAGAGGTGGGTGGGGACAGTTTCAGTTCCTTGTGCTTTTCTGTATCGCTTGAGAATTTTTCAGCAACTTCATGTTATATACGCGTCTGTATATAACGTACTCGGTTAGTTCTAGGGCTGCCCCAACAAATGACCAAAGCAGGTGGCTTAAAACATGGAAGGTCAAGGTGGTGCATGCCATCCACGGGGCTGGCCTTCTTCACTGGGTCCTGGCCAGGGGCCCTCGAGCACCAGTTGGCTGTAGTGACCCAGTCTCTCCCCCTTGTCCCCTCCCCCTGCCCAGCTGGAGCCTGATGGCCTGTTGGTGTGGATCTTGGCTGGCGCCCTGGGCCTCAGCCTCGTCGGTTCCCTGGTCTCGGTCCCGCTGCAGTCCTTCCAGCTGAACAAGGTCTACGGCTTCTGCCTGCTCCTTTTCTACGTGAGCTTCCTCGTGGTGGCCCTGCTCACGGAATTTGGGGTGATTCACTTGCAAAGTGTGTGAGTAAAGCCGCGTGTCCGGGTCCACCTGGTGGTCGGGAGGTGTCACTGCAGGCGGTGAGGTGGAAGATGGATGAAGATGGATGATGGAAGCTGGAAGAGGGCCTTCTGCAGAGCCCAAAGCGTGTGGTTGGCAGGAGTGTGGCGAGGGCTTGAAGGCCCACTCTCTCTATGAAAGGCTCCCAGGCGCCGCTGTGGGCAGGGAGCAAAGCTAAGCCTCGTTTCTGAGACTTTGGAGACTGGACTTTATTGTGGGTGGACAGTTCCAGACAGAAGATGGACTTATCTCCAGAGCCTCTCGAAGGCTGAGGTTTAGGGTGAAGGAGTGCCTCCCAGATTGGTGTTGGGAGACTTGAGAAAAGTGTTCAGGGCTGGATGTGACGACAGAGCCCCAGGCCCCTCCTCGAAGGTGTCCCCTGCTGCTTTCCTGCATCTTCTCAGGGCTCAAATGGCTGCCAAACCCAGGTTTAGGAGTCGGGGCTACTGGGACCCGGTGGGCAGAGCGCCCTGCGTGCCCTGGGCTGAGTTCTAGAGCTGCACCGTCCGGCAGAAATGGAATGTGAGACACGTGCCTAATTTTGAATTTTCAAGCCACCACGTTACTAAAGCCAAAAGAAATGGGCGAACTCTTCTCGATCATCTATTCTATTGAATCCAGTGACTCCAGAATACCAGTCCATGGCGCTGGCCCCACCCATGCCTGCCTTGCTGGACGGCACAGCTCTGGGCTCAACCCCTGCCTGGCACCCGGGGCTGGCTACCGGCGAACCCCGCCCTTCACCTCAGGTTCCCTCAGCTGCAGAACAGGAGGGAACTTGTGCTTGGTTCCCTCCGGGGGCCCTGGGCTGGGGTTCCGGTGCCTGCAAACTCTTGGGAGGACAAGGAGCCCCCACCCTGCCCCCAGCACCTTCTGCCGTCAGCAACCTGCTTCAGTGAGCAGCTGGCGTGTCTGCCCTATTGCCTTACGCTGGCAGTAAAGGGATTCAACTGTCTTTTTTCCAATGAAAAAGTTATTAAATATTTCAAGTGCACAGAAAATAACAGTGTTATCTCTTAGCAGCTCTTCCTTACCTGGGCCAGGTGACCAGTGGTTGGTTCCAGGGCTGAAGGCCTTGAGCCTGGTGTTTCAGCTTTATTGGCACGTCTAAGGGGTGGGGCGGAGCTGGGGTCAGAAGGGCCATGGGTGGCCTGTTCTGCAGCTGAGGGAAGCACCCCCATGTCCCCCACAATGCCAGAAGCCACAGAGTGGCACCTGGCAGACGTCACGAGGCAGCAGCCACACTTACAAAGCAGAGGCGCTTTTATTAATATGCCAGAGTCCGAGACACTGTGGGCTTTCTAGGAAACAAATCACCAACGTACAAAACCTCAGGGTTGTTCCCGCTATCCGTACAAAATGATTGTCACGTGATGTGGAATAAGGCTGGGTGGGGGGAGGGACACGAGGAGGAGCTGGATGGCATGCCACCTGAGGCAGGGCAGGGGCACAGGGCCATCTGAGCCACTGATGGGTTGCTCAACCCAGGGCAAGTCAGCATCTCGGCCTGGTCTCAGCTGACGTAGGAATGAGGACATCTGAGCTGAATGATGTCCTTGGTCCCTCAGAGCTCATGACCCTGGGTGACACCCACTCCCTGCTCCAAGAACCTGCAAACAACTTGATGAGGCCAAAAGTGACCCTGTAGGGACAGTTGTCCTTAGCCTCCGTGACGAAGGCCCGTCAGCACTATTGGCCCTTGGCATTCATCCCTCTGAGCTAAAGCTAGGTAGGGCCTTTCCCAGGACAGGATCAGGGGGACTGGACTAGAAGCCCCCCTTCCTGGTACCAGCCCTCACACTGGGGGGCCTCACCGGCTCTGTTGCCCCTCCCGGGTTTGCAGCCCCTGGGGGCAGAGGAAGGGACTAGAACAAGGCCTCAGAGGCTCAGGCTGGGGGCAGTCCTGGCCTCCTTCAGAAGCTGCCCCTGGGCTCCCGCTTCTGAAAGGCCCATTTCAGTACAGAAGCTACAAGGCACCTGGTATGCAAATGAAGCTCCTTCTCTGGGCAGGGGACCCGGTTCCACCGAGCTGCCCGTGATGGCTGTGGTCCTCCAGAGACGACATCAGCCTCTTGACCCCTGTGGGAATCTCAGCGATTCCTGGTTTCCCCGAAGGGCTGTGCTGTAAAAATGGAAATGCCCACACTTCTCCCCTGGGGAGGGGCAGAGCTGCGCAGTGTTGGCAGCAGGGGTCAGGCTTGGCCTTGGAGATGGCCAGGGAGTGGTGTGGGGGGGGCAAGCTGGGTACTGTACCCCCAGGGCGGGGTCCTGCCTTGCTGGGGAGAGGACTTGGCATCAGATCCTCTGCCCACCTGCCTTCCTAAGTCCTGAGAGGCTGTGGAGGCAGCTGGAGAGCTGGCATTGGGTGGGGCTGCCCCTGCCCCCCTCCAGGTGTGCAGCCCAGGAGAGTGGAACCGAAGCTCCCTCCTCTGACCCTGCCTGTGGCACGACCTCCACCACGTTCCCCAGAGCGGCCTCCCCCGACGGCCCGCTCTGGATTCCAGTGTCAGTCCTACCTGACCACACTGATTGCAGGGAACCCCTGGCATCAGGGGCACTGGGGGAGCTGTGCCGGCCACTCCTCCCAGGGAGGCCCTGGGGTGAGGATGAGGGGCAAGCAGCCCCACGGGTTCAGCCACAGGGTCGCTGGAGACACCCCACGGAGGCGTCTGTATTCTCTCTGTTCCCGAGTGTAGAACCTAATGCACATGCGTGAAGCATCTGCATTGCCCTCAGCATAGCCCTGAGTTAACCAACAAGCCTTGTTGCTTGGACAGGACAATCGCAAGCAGGAGACGGGATTTCATGGAGAAAGCCCGTCCTAGGAGTCCCACCTGGGAGGCAGCTGCGGGCCGGCCCCTGGCTGCCTTCCTCCCCCTGCTGGGCCTGGGTTCCAAACGAGACCACCTTAGGATGGTCAGCAACAAGCACTGAAACCGAACCAAAGGGGTGTGCACAGAGGCTGACAGCCAGGGCACAGACTGCGTCCGCACCATCTCTTCTGCCCAGCCCCGGCAGGGATCTGACCGCCTGCATGAATAACACCCCTGGATTCCTCGTTCCGTCGGGGCTGAGGCACAGGTCCCCCAAGGGAACGCTCGATTACATTATCATATATATAGAAATACGAACCCCGAGGGTGTGGGTTCTCTCCTTCGTAAGTGGTTCTGTCCCTAAAGCAAGACACAGAGACCCGTGACGTGGCCACAGGGGAAGGGAGTGGGGAAGCTGTCAGCTGGGGCGAGCCATGGGAGCGGCGCCAGGAGGACGGCGTGGGTGTGGACGTGGCCTGGGGAGGGCTGGCCCGCCTTGAAGCTGGGCCCTGCAGAGGGCAGGATCTGGCCCAGCGGCCCTCTTGTGAAAGTGCCTTCCGGAGCTTTCTGTGCTAGGAAGGGCTCCTAGGGGCCAGACCGCCCCCCCCTTCCCCTGCCACTGCCCCAAGCAAACTGGCTCCTGGCGTTAAGGATAATGTCTGTCTTCCTTTTTCTCTATATAAATAGGTGCATATATATGAATATGTGCATATGTAAATATGCACATATCCTGATACATCATAGTAAAATAATACTATTGTGTTATTGCATAGAAGAGATGGCTTGCGTGTGCGCGCTGGGGTTAGGTGATGGTCTGGGAGCGCTGGCGGCTGCCTGGGGGCTGCTCGGCGGCGGGGACGCCGCTGCCATCCGGCTGTCGCTGCGGTTCCTCCTGCTCCCGGGCGTGCTCCTCGTACCACTCCTAGAGCACAGGGCAGAGGGGAGCTGAGCGGGCTGCACCCCTTCCGGCCCGCCCTGCACCTCCCCCAGCCTGCCGGTCACCAGGCCAGGTGGCACTGCGACCCTCCAGCCTCTGCCTGCCAGGGGTGGGGGACCATCTAGGATGGAGGAGGCAGGGCTGCCAGCCCCACCCAGCGGGGACTGAAAGGTCTCCTCACCGCCCCCACCCAGCTGCTGGGAATTCTGAACATGGCCCCCAAAAGAAAAGTTACAGTGATGTCAGCCCCGAATCGATGAGAGGTTCGCACAGCACCTCATGAGGTGGGTTTGGCATGTGTCAGGTAGTGACATCACCCTCTGCTCGTGACCATGATCCTTTGTCGTGCACAGTGGACACCCCCTTCCTCTGAGGTCAGCCCTTGGGGCTGAGCAGCACTGTCCCCGTTGGGGACCCCAGGGAGCCGAGGCTGAGGCTGCGTAGAGCCAGAGGGGCCGAGGGCCTCTTCGGACCCCTCCCCAGCAGTGGGACAAAGGGGACGGCTTGCCTGCCTGAGGCTGTCGTCTGACATTTTCAGGGACAGAGGTATTCAGGTAATTAAGGAATTAAAAAATGCACAGTATGTTCTGAAAAGTCTCAATCATAGAACTTTAGAGCTTGAAACACACTGTGAGGGGGCCTAACTCCACACCCCCTCGTCTCACGGAGCAGAAATGGAGGCCGGGAGTGGGCGGACCGGCAGAAGCCAGAGCACAGGACAGCACCCAAGTGTGGGCTCGCACGCAGTTGTCTCCTCTGCTCCCCCGAGGGAGACGGTCCCCCTTCCACAGGCCTGAAGTCACTGAGTGACTTGCCCAAGGTCATGGGGGCACCAATCAAACCCATGGCACTGAAGCTCGTGTCAGTTGGACATCCCAGTGACACCCCGTTCAGCGAGCCACCACGCGGCTGCACCCCTCGTGTTTGTACAAAGCACGTGCTGTTCACGTTGGCAGCCTCCCAGCCTTGTGGGCGTGGACACTGGTCATGGCTGTCCCAGTGACCCAGGGTTTCCAGCTGTGAGGGTGCCAGAGAACAAGTCACGATGGCTGGCGAGGGAGACCCTCCTGGAGCCTTGGGACCCCGAGGTGGGAGGAAAGACCCAAAGCTCATTCACAGGGACCTGCGGTCCACAGGCTCCGTCTGGATGCAAGGGCCAGCCCATGTGGCACTGCCAACATGGAAAGATGAGGAGATTTTGCAAAAAAAAAGTTGACTTCTCTCCTCTCTTAAATTAGAAAAAATCTAGGCAAGAAAACACCCACTGGGTACAGCAGGCCTTATGGCCATCGGCAACGTTTGCTGGGCCTGGGAAGAGGCCACGTTCTGGCCAGCTCCCACAGCGCCCCGACCCTCCTGTCATGTCTCCCGGGGTGTGCATTCCGCAGCGGGAGGCTGAGACGGGCTCTGCGGACTACACAAGTGGCTGGGACGTGAACCAAGGACCAGACAGAAGAGGTGGCTACGCAGGGGAACGTGGTGAGGAGTTTGAGGCTGAGCCCCGAGGGCCCCCCAAACATGACCCGGACACCACAGGTAGTGGTCCCAATCTGTGGCCCCGCATCCCCCCACCGTGCAGTCCCTGCCCAGCGGCAGCAGGACCCCCTCTGGGCGAGGGCCTGGAGGTGTGGTCGGGGCGCGCCCACCTGAATCTCCTCTTGGTACATCTTCAGGCTCAGATCGCTCTTGGTCCTTGATCTCCGGCCCAGGAACACCATGGCGTTTTGCTGTGGAAGGGCAGAGGCTGCAGACCCCACTGTGCAGGGCCCTGGCCCCGCCCAAACTTGAGGGGAGGGACTGCACTCAGCTACAACTCGCCCCCTCACCAGAGAGCCCCCCGTCACGCCTCACCTCATTTCTCTCCATCTGCGAGAGGATCTTGAGCAGCCGAGTGACGTCCGAAGAGGCTCCCTGCACCTCCCGGTACAGCTTGAGGACAGCCAGCAGCTCGTCCTTGGACATTTCCTTCTCCACGGTGATGCCACCGTCAACTGCAGAGGAGGGAGGGGGCCTGGGCTCAGAGCCCTCAGTCGGGCCTGTTCTGGTTTAGCCACCCGCCCTGCTGGCCCTACAGGGTCTAAGTTAAGGCTCCTTCTCCAAGCAATACTTTCTCAGCACTACCTCTCCCCTGCCTCCGGCCGAGAGGGATTCTCGTCCCCCCCGCCCCCACACACCTCCGCCTTAGACTGTGAGGACCATGGTCAGGCCAGCAGCTTCCCAGGGACAGAGGGTTTCGGGAGGGAATCTCTGAGCAGTAAGAGAAAGGTCAGACAGCCTGATACAATAGAGACTCGGAAACCAGCGGTAGCAGGCAGGTGGCTGTTTTGACGAGGGAAAGAACAGAGGACCAGTGTGCAGAAAGCTATGCAACTCGGGAAAGGCGAGGCAGTGAGGAAGCCCGGATCGTCAAGCTGCAAAAGGCGGTGCTCTGGGCTCTGTAGTCCACAATATTCATGCCCTTTAAATCCAGAACCCTGGCATGAAAATGTTATTTAGAAACGTGGAGATAACAACTGAAAGGAGAACCAACTAAGAGCGAGAAGCCTCCGGGAGATGGGGCCGGGGGGACAGACAGCTGCTGTGCCCGCGATAAGTCCATCTCTGCTCTGCGGCTCTTCTTAAACGATGGCGTGCACCGTTTTCAGTTAAAAAAATAAGATCAAGAGCATGTGCCTGTCATTAAATGTTTGACAACGGAAATGAGAGATCTAGAAAGATAAGCCGGATACGTAAGCTGAACTGTCAGAAGGCTGGACAACCAGTCAGCTGCCTCGCCAAGAGGCCCATAAGCTGACCGCTGCACGGCCAGCCGGCCAGCGGGTGGCCAATGTCCCTGTTCCTTGCACAGACCTTCCGAGTCCTGGTTTTTGCGGCTGAAGTTCATTCGGAAGACAAAGGCCTCGAGGATGAAGGCCACGATGATCGTCATCACTACCTGCCAGACAGAGGGGGGGGTCAGAGAGAAGGGAGTGAGGGGTGTGAGCAGCCTTGGGGCCCGGCCCCCCGAAGAACTACTCAGATGTGTCCCCCGCCCTGTCCTCCCCGAGCTGCTGCCCAGTGAGCACAGGCCACTGCAGGAAGAGCACCTGTGTCCCCGGACCCACCATGGTCACGATGTAAAAGGTCATGAAGTAGAGGCGGCTCCAGTGGGAGGTCTGAGAGGTGACGCCTTCCTGCAGACAGAGGGAAGCAGCCCGTGGGTGGGTGCCGGGGAGGGGCTCAGGGGAGAGGTCGCTGTCTCCTGAAGCTGATCCGTGGCCCCTGGCACTGCTGGGGTTTTGCTGACCCTCCCTGATCTGCCCTTGGTTGTGGGAGACGGGGGACGGGGACATCGGTCCTAAAAATCCCTCTGTCCTGCATCCTCCTGGATGGTCCCCAGGACGAACAGTCTTTGTCCTAAGTAGGAGTGGCCCTTGGAAGAGTTTAAGGAATGGAAAACAAAAGCCAACAACCCTTGCCACACTGTTTCTTGACTGAAAAGTCTCTCCCACGGTGGAGGCCAAAGGACAGAGTCCCAGAGGCTAATTGGCAACTCGTGGCAGCTGGAGATGTGCGGCAAACAGGAATAAAAGCCAAGTGCAGCCAAGAGGTGGCCCCTGAGCCCACGCTGTGGCCTCTCACCACAACGCCAACCCCGAGTGCCCCAGGTCCCCACCCCCTGCAGGGCATGGGAAGAGCAATGTACGCCACACTGGGTGCAGAGAGACCCAGGGCTGCCTCGGAGAATGGTGGGAAGACGCCCCAGGAGCTGTCTGAGGTCCTTACCATGATGATGTACCAGTTGTTGACAACCGTGAGCTCAAACAAGGTCACTGCCGGGGGGAGGGAACAAGAGAAGCATTTTGATCAGACCTACTTCTTCCAAGTCAGTTTCAAGTGGCCTCTCTCCAGAGGTCCTGGGTACCATGCACCTAAGTGATGGGGTCCCCGTCTGCCAGCTTGGGCTACGAGCTCCAGAAAGATCCGCCAAGGCCTCCCCCTGAGTGCGCCCCCACCCCACCCCCCGTGGGCAGTGCTGCCATCCTGCCTGTCCCCAGAAGGGCGTGCCCTTTGCCTGAGCAGCGTGCGATGGGCCAGGGCTGAGGTGCAGATCTAGGGTGCCATGAGGCTCTCCCCTTCCTCGAGAAGCCGTGTCTGGCAGAGCTGCTTCCCTCCACTGACCACATCCTCATTCCCTCCACAGAACCCAGGGCAGAGCCTCATTTGAGCAATGCAAGGGCACTGTGGCAGGTGCTCACAGCTGGGTCCCTAGCATCAGGCTCAGCATGAGCATGAAGCTCTTCTGCTCCCTGACACTGAAAAAGGATCAGGAAAGGAGGAACTCTGACGGCCGAGTGAGCCTGGGACCTGGCCTGGCCTGCACACACCACACACTCCCTCTGGGCCAGGGAGCACTGGAGGGAGTGTGGCAAACAGGAGGGAGAGGCCGCAGACAGCTTTGCTCTGCGGCTTGGGACCCGCAGTGACAAAGGCCCGGGGAGTGTCCCGCCTGAGCTTTCTGCACTTACCAAAGCTGTTCAGGATGTTGTCAAAATTATTGAGATAGTAGTAGCCTTCCTCTACCACAGTCCTGTTGCCCACAGTGTGGTTGAGCCAGCGGTAGGCGTCCGCCACTGTACTTGTACTGCCGGGGAAACAGAGACAGAAGGGATGGTCACAACACAATCGGTCGCCTCGACAGAGGACAAAATGTTTCAGCAATCCAAGGTCTGAACAAGGAGCGCTCTCCTGGCCCAGCCTGCTTTCCTGCTCAGCGCGCCTCCCCACCCTCACTGGCCCGTTTATGACACTTATGGCTTGAGGGGACTCTCGGCTTCTCTCACCTGTCCCCAGACTTGCCCCCCTCATCTGCCTCCACTTGGCATTTTCTGCTGCTGGCTAGGCCTCCACTCTGAGCTACCCTTGCAGGACACCGCTGGGCAGGGACAGTGGCTCCTTTGGGCCTCTCCTACCCAGGATTTGCCCTTGAAGCCAGGTGACGGGCAGGCAGCAACCTGGGGACGGGAAGCAACTTGTTGGGCTTCTTCTGGCACCTGGCCAGGTGTTCTAATAGGTTGTTATTTAAAATGTTCACGGCTTATCTGTTAAAATCCATGCCAACATTTCTGTAAGTCTGGTCCGTGGGACCCCCCAGGGAGTGTGCCCAGAAGGCAGGTGCTCAGCCTCCTGCCAGGCCCGCACTCCGTCAGACTCGCAGGGTGGGTGGGGTCTGGAGTCTGCTGGTGACTGACAGTTCGTGGCCCACTCTCCCAGGCTTCTGCTTCCGAGTTCAGCCTGACACTGAGGAGCTACCAGTGTCTCTCGAAGGTGTTTCTTTATCACCATGAGGCCGTGAGGAGCAGAGAGTAATGAGAACAGTGGGTGGAGCATTGGTGGCAGAGGACACTGACTTCGGCCTAGCAGCTTGGAGGAAGGGAGGGGGTGCAGAGGCCATGGGAGATTGGCTCCCCACTCTCCATCTCTGTCCCCACAGACCTTCCCACGGTGTCCATCTGTCTTGTCCTAACTGGCTGCCCCTGGTTGGTGTGTCCACCCAGGTCCCCAGCCGCCCCTGGAGAGACATGGCAGGAAGCCATGGGACTCAGGCCTCGGGACACCGGCCACACTTGGTTCTCGAGAGGCCTCCAGCCCGTGTCCCAAAGGGAGAGCTGACGGAGGCCTGGATGGAGTGCGGCTCCTGGACCCTGCCTGGGGGACAGGGAGACCTGCTCACATGTCCGCACCGCAGAGACGTGTCTCTGCTTCCAGGCCCCCACTTAGCTCCTGCACTGGACTGAGCCCTGGAAGCAGAGTGAGGTGACTCCGGGGGCTCTCACGGGTGCTGTGGCTGGGACGAGCACGCCCCTGGGCATCGTGAGGCGGAGAGGGCCCGTCGGCAGGGGCGAGGCAGGTGCTGGTCTGGAAACGCAGGCGGCCTGGGACTGGAGCGGCGGAGGCCGGCGGGGTACTCACTTGCAGCAGTTGGGGTAGAGGATCCCACAGAAGAATTCCATGCCCACGATGGCAAAGGAGTAGTACAGGATGAGCAGGGTGAGGCCCAGGCTGGGGGAGGGTCAGAGGGACAGGGCGGCTCAGGGCCAGGCCGCAGAGCCCGCCCCCTCCGGCAGCCCGGCCGCCTCGGACCCACGGAGCTGACTGGTGGAGAGGCATGCCCCTGGCCGGGTTTGCCGACCGGGACGTGCCTGGGGAGGGGCCCCGTGACTCAGGTCTGGGGCACAAAATGTCTCGAAGGAGGACTCTCTGAACAGATGCCCCTTGACCAGAGATTCACCCCTTACCTGTGAAGGTAGACTCACAGGTGACCCCTTACCTGTGAACATAGACACAGGCGGTAAGTGAGCTGACAGCTCCCTGCCCTCCCTACTAAATATTTCGGACAGGTCAGTGGAGGGAAGTGCCAGGGAGACCTGCGGTGGTCAGAGTTCGGTCTCCTCGAAGGCCCGTCAGACCCTGGACTTCTGTCCCTTCCGGGCCCCCTCCCCTCCCCCCACTACCGCCCAGCCGCCCACCCTGCGGGCACAGGCCTCGGAGCGCCTGGCCCTGGGGCCCCGAGGCAGGGCAGTACCTGGCCATGCGGGGCAGCAGCTCAAACATGGTGTCCAGCACGTTGCGGTAACGCTTCTTCAGCTTGAACAGCCTGAGCAACGGAAGGAGGCCAGGCCACTTAGACAGGCAGGGCCACCACTAGCGCCTGACGCAGCCCCAGGAGGGAGCCGGGCCCAAGGCCCACTCATCCACCTGACCGCCGACTGTCCTCAGGTAACTCCCACCCTTGGGCAGGGGGAGTGGTGGCCCTAGGACACTGGGGCTGGACAGGCCTGTCCCTGAAGGGACATAGAACCGCAGTGGGTCAGTGTCTTCCTCAGTGAGGAGGGAGCAGTCTGGTGTTCGCCACGGTTTACGCCACGGCAGCCAGGAGGCTCAGAGCGGGCGAGACTTTGCTCAGGACAGCGTGGCACACCCGAGAAGGAAGGCGGCAGCAGCCCACGCCACGGGGGAGCCCGAGTGTGGCGGATCGGTGAAGGACGGGCCGAGGCGTGCGGGGTCTGCTGCAGAGAGCCCCCGCCCCACCTCTCCTCCCAGGAAGGACGGGACGGGATGGGATGGGACGACGGGCACGTGTGGGATCGCAGCTGGACAGCCAAGGGGAAAAGCGGGCTCCTGAGGACACAAAGAGCTCACGATCCCCAAGGAGTGAGGGACCCGTCCCCGGAGCCATGCTGTACAGAGTCCCTACAATGGTCCCTGGGAAAAGGGGGCACCAAGTGAGGGTTTTTCTTGATAAGAGGCTGTTCCAGAACAGCAAGGAGGCCCTCAAAAGTCCCCTTGAACCCTCAGAGACTGTGCCTTCTGGTGTGTGACTATGAGCACATATGTTTCTGTGGCCACGGCGGATAGCGCCAAAGGCAAGTTCACTCGAGCCGTGTTTCTCTTCCACAGTGAGAGGTATGGTGACACAGTGACTAGTCCTAGTGACATGAGGAGGCAGTGGCCCCTGCCTGCTTCTGCGGGGGCTGTGGCAATCTGAGCCCAGGCTTCTGAGTCTTCTGGCTCATTGGTCACCTCCCAGACCAGTCCCCAGGCTTTCTCCACCATCCCCCCGTCTCTGTGCCTGCCCCTCCCTAACCCGGCCCCTGCCCGTCACCTCAGCAGCTGGAGAGGACGCAGAACCACTATGAAATAGAAGGGCTCCATGTTGAAAGCCAGGGCCAGCAGCCCCAGGAAGGCGAACGCCGTGACGAAGAAGTCGAACCTGGGAGGCAGAGGGGAGCGGTCCGTCAGGCCCACCCCGGCCTCCCTCACCACATCTGGCACCCCCCCCATTCTTGTCTCACCCTTCCAAGGCACCCACTCGCCAACCACAGCAAACACAAGAGCATGCCCAGCAGGGTTCTGTGGCCAGCCAGGCGGGATGTAGCTTCCTGCCACCCTGGTGTTTCTGAGGTTGGCGTGGCCAGGTGCCATCATGGCCCATATCTTGGGGGTCTCAAATGCCCGGCACCGCCCCTCCCCCAAAGCCCCCCATTGGTCTAACAGCAGAGCTTGATTGTGCTGGTGACTGTCTGCCCGGATGAGGTCACTGAGGGGAGGGCGGGGTTGGCCAGACCCGACCAGGAGCCCAGGGATCCCTGAGCAGGGCAGAGGCCCCTCCCCTCCAGAGTCCGGCCCTGAGACCCTGGGCTGTGCTTGCTGGACTCTTCTGTTTACTGACCCGTTCCACTCTCAGCCCAGACCTCGCGGGGTAGCCCGATTTCATGGGTGAGTTAACTTTAACGGGCAGTAAGTGACCTCTCAAGGTCTCAGTGGAGCGGGGAGAAAGGGCCAAGTGAGAGGATGGCACTTCCTTCTCTGTGGGCTTCATGGTTTGGGGAAAAGAGCTGAGTCGTGCAGGGGACGGGGTACAGTTAAAGGGCTCAGGAAGAGCCCACCAGCCTCGGGGCCCCCAGAGCCCGTGAGCAGAAGGAACGGGCGTGGGTGGTCGAGAGAGTCAGAGCGGAGCCTGACCCTGGGGGGTCCCAGGGCCATGGGCAGAGCAGCAGGAGACAGAGGCCGTGACCCATCCTCTGCAGCCACAGATGCGACGTGTGTGCTGTGGGGATGTGGGGACAGGGCCAGGGGCTTTCACCGGTGTCTGAGACCAGGGGAGGACCACGCTGTCCACTTACAGATTCCACCCAGAGGACAGGTACTCAATGGGCCCCAGGCCGGCGACCTTCAGGAACAGCTCCACCCCGTAGACTGTGGACAGAGGTGAACAGTCAGCGGTATTCCCGCCACGGCCTCCCACACTGGGCCTGGCCCAGTCCCCTCCTGGAGACCCTTCCCCTGAGGCCGTGTACCCTCCCGACAGCCATCCGAGTGCAGGTTCCTGGAGAGGCCCGGCCCAGGTGCTGGTCAACGGAGGCAACTTGCTGAGAGGCACTCCCTCCCCCGCCGGGAACAGCCCAGCCACCCTCTGTCCACTGACAGGTATTTCCTGCACCTCCTCTGTGCCAGGCATCGTGCTGGGTGCTGGGCATGCAGAATTGAACAACACAGGGCAGTGCCCACTCTACAGAGCTCAAAGTGTAGACTGGGAGGAAGGACTGTGAGTGGGTCATGACCACTCAGGGCTCAGGGACACAAAAGGAGGAGGAGGAGGAGTATCAGTCTGTGCAAAGGCCCTGAGGCAAGCAAGGGCATGGGGAGCTTGGGAGCAGACACGTGCAGGCTGGGGCGTGGGTGGCGGTACTGGCGAAAGATGAGGCCAGAGAAAGGGCTAAAGGGACCCTGTGTAGCCAGGTGACAGGAGGGAGCCTGGGTCTGGAGGACAGAGGAGAACTGTGAACCATGAGCAGCTTGGAAACAGATGGGATGGCACCAGACTCAATTCTGCTGGCTGCTTGGTGAGTGTCCCTGTGTTCGAGCCACGAGGTCCTAGACCAAACGAGAGCTCTCCCAGCCCGAAGCCACGTCACAGACTTACTAGTCAGAAAGACGAGGTAACTCCAGGGCACGTGCTTGGAGAAGAAGTTCCCGCCTGTGGGACAGAGAGGCAGCAGCTCAGGAAGCCGGCCAGGTGGGCCTGCAGGACAGGGCAGTGCCCCCGCCAGGCTCACCTTTCAGCATGAAGGTCTCTGCAAGGACCCAGACGCCGTTGACGGCCACCACCAAGTCTGCAACAGACAGAGAAAGCACAGGTGGGTGTGACGATCGGCAGGTCACACCCGCAGCCTGTGGCTAACTTCTGGGCAGCTCTGGGAGATGCGAAGAGGGGCTATTCCACCCACCCAAGTAACAGGCGGCCTCTTTCCCCTTTGGGCTTTCACCACAGGAGCTAAATCAATGGGTCGTCTTGCTTAGAAACAGCTAAGGGTTTCTACACAAACCCACATCATCACCGCACAGAAGCCAGTTAAGATGCTTCGGTAGGACCTACAGGTCATCCTAAGTCAGTATAAACCGTGAACAACACAGAGGGTTTGAGTATTGGAAGTAGGTGCTTCTCCTTAGACATGTCTGACTTTACAGTGACCGCAGGGTTAGTGAAATGCACGTGCCCCTGGCCTCTCACTCGGCAGTCCCACCGCTAGGAACCCACCCCCGTGAGACACCAGCAAAGACACAACGTGACATACATGGAAGGCTATTCACTCGAGACAGCAAAACATCGGAGACACCCTAATCGATCATCAGGGCGCTGGTGGAGTAGCTATGACATGGTCATGAAAGGGTGTGCTGTCCACTACGAGAAGACATGGGGACATCTCTATATACTATTAAGGAGGGTTGTCGGGGTATATTGTTAACTGGAAAGAGCAAGGTGGAAAAAGTGCGTAAAATATGCTATCATTTACTTAGGACGGGGAGACGTGCTTATGTGCATCTATTTAGTTTTTTATAAATGGAAGGATAAATCACATGAAGAGCTACCCCTTGGACTTCCGGCCAAGATGGAGGCGTAGGTGGAAACACTGTGCCTCCTCGCATAACCAAGTTTAAAGACAACAAAGCTTCAGTAACAAAAACGCAACCAAAACACAGAAAAGTGAACTGTACGAAAGTCCAACAACAATGCAGATCACATGGAGGGTTAGCAACAGGGGAGTGGGAGGAGGAGAAGGGGGGAGAAGGTACAGAAAATAAGTAGCATAGATGGTAGGTAGAAAATGGGGGGGGGCCAAGAATAGTAGGGGAAATATAGAATCTGAGGAACTTGAGACAAGTGAACATAAACGAAAGGGGGGAATGGTGGGGAGAGGGGTGATTAGAGGGGAATAGAACAACTGTAATGGCATAATTAATAAAATATATATTTTTTAAAAAGTTACCCCTTGGAGGAGGCAACAAGATGCAAACAAGACTTCTTTGAAAGATCTGGCTTGGAACCATATAAACATTTCACATAGTTATAAAACAAAGTTAAATGCAAAAGCAATCCCTAAAAGTTAAAATAAAACAAAATAAAGAAACCTATGTATGCCCTGGCTGGTGTGGCTCAGTGGACTGAGCACTGGCCTGCAAACCAAGGTGTTGCTGCTTCGATTCCCGGTCAGGGCACATGCCTGGGTTGCAGGCCAGGTCCCCAGCAGAGGGTGTGTGAGAGGCAACCACACGCTGATGTGTCTCTCCCTCTCTTTCTCTCTCCCCCTCTCTCTAAAGATAAGTAAAATCTTAAAAGAAAAATAAAAAGAAAGAAACCTAAATGTGTATTCAGTTGGTGACGTGCGGACTCGGAGAGGCACCAGGGGAACTTAAAACACGGCGCCCTGCCTGCGGCCCCTGGAGTGGCGTTTCCGGCAGCCGCATCTCGGGGGCTGTGTGGTGTTGGTTCTCGGCCACGGCTGTGTGTGTGCTGCGGGCGGAAGCACATGAGCAGCCGTGTCAGTGTTGCTGGGAAACCAGGTTTGGAGCCTGGGAATCCAGACAGGAAGGGGTGCTGAGGCCAGGGGGCATCTCCACAGTCCTGAATGTGAACTACAGATATCAGGATAAACTCACAATACAGCTTATCTTTAAACACACCAAACCCTCCCCTCCGTCCAGGGAAAGGCTTTAGAAACAAGAGCGAACTCCATGCAATGCACACCTCCAGCACCTCGGACTGTGGTCGCTAAACCCCATCTCCCACAGCAAGGCCCAGAGCTCCTGAGAAACACGGACTCCCGTCAAGCCCCCAGGTTAGTGCTGTCCAAGAGAACTTTCTGTGGCAACGGAAATCTCTTCATCGGGGCTGTTCCATTAGTCACTAGCCATCTGTGGCTACTGAGCACCTCAAGTGTGGATACTGTGCCTGGGAAACTAAATTTTTTATTTGAATTAGCTGACATGTAATTAGCCACCCGAGGCTAGCGGCTGCCACACGGGACAACACAGCTCTAGAGAAACTACCGAATTACAGGAAATAAGTGACAGAGGAAACATAAAAACAAGACTGAAGGACACACAATCCTGCTTCTTCAACCACGGATTTCAACAGGGAGAAAAGGGATGGAGGAGGAAGCTACAGATGAAAACAGACGTGAGCGACCTAACCATCAGTCACACTCTGTGGTTAGTCACACTCTGTGGTTCTGGAATTTGCTTCCAAAACTCCAGGTCTAGAGAGGATATAGTGAGCCAGAGTGAGGGGGCAGATGCGTAAGAAAGACCGGCCATTGGATGGTAATTAGGTTGGGTGATGGGCACACGGGGGTTCACTGTATTCTCCCCACTTGTACACGTGCTTGGAATTTCCTATAATGAGAACTCAAAACCGTGACTGCAGTACCCATCTCCTGCCTCCCGCCTTCTGGAAGAGTGAGACTCAGGAGGAAAGGGGCCCAGCGCTGGGGTTTCACACTTACACATGAAATACTGAAAGGCTTTGGACTTCACCAGGATATTAATTCCTATTGGAAGAGAGGAAATGTTAGCACCGACATGTTCATAGGCGAGTGCGCCTTCCCCTACTCCCTCGTTCATGTCTGAAAGCAACCAGGGTGCTCACACCCAGGGGTGAAATGGCAGGGCCTGTTCTGCCTGCTGGTGACACTCAGACACCTGGACACGACGACACGGACCACGACTGCTCTGGGGCAGCCTGGGCAACCCGGGGCCGGGAGGAAACAGAACAAAGCGTCGATGCTCACTGCTGACACCTGCATTACTGCTAGCCCGGGCCCGGGACAGTTTATTCAACCAGTTGGGTAACTATCATCCCAGTAGAGCTGACAACCCTCTAGAAAATATGGGCTGAGGCTGCGCCCAGGCCCAGGCTGCAGGCTTTCTGCGTGAGAAACTCCCTGTAAGCTAACCACAGCCCCACACGGAGGCTGCCCCACTTCAAAACTGGCAGTAAACAAAGGGGCGGCTATTAGGTAAATAATGTGGGCACTCCGATTTAAAATGCTCAGATTTTATCCTATGCAAGACATCGTATACATGAGGCATAAATCCTGCCATAGGAAGATGGGAGAGATACACTGTTAGACAGAAAGGCAGGTTTCAGAACAAAATATACAAGGTAATCCCACGACTGCTTCTTAAAAGCGCAGGAGAAATAACCGACATCAGAGGGAAACACGTTAGAGAATGAACAGTGGTTATGTCCGGGTGGGAAATTTTCATTTTCTTCTAATTACCGGACTTGGTCAATTTTCTTTAATAAATGAATGGTCCACAAGTGTCCTTTGGTTTGGCTTTTAAGTTACCAACTTCCGTCCTAGTCTAACACGTGTTTCCCTGCTGGGACAATCGCTCTCTGTGTCTTTTACGCACACAGATATTCGCTCACACACACACTCACACACACGCCCTCTGAGCCCATGCTCCTCCAGGCCTCGTCTGTGCTCTCTGGAAACTTCCATCTGTCTCCAGCTGCCGGGACGCCATGTTCAGGTGAGCCTTACCTTTGAAGATGAGGAATGCTGTCCTGGGAAGCTCGTCAAACCAGTGTTCTCTATTTCTCTTCGCCTGGCCAGGAAACAGGGCCGTGGGAGAGGGCGTTAGGACCAGCGCCCAGAACTGCGCTGCTCCGGCCAGGAAAGAGCTGGACCTTGGGGGCCTCCTGGCTTCATGTGCACGTGGAACCCTCCGCCCGCCCCTCCCTGGTCTCACTCATGTACTCACCTTCCACTTCAAGGCGGCGACTTCATAGATATCGTAAAAGTCCTTCAGGCTGCCGCAGCAACATGAAAAGGAAAAAAATCCGGATGCCCCCACTGAGCTTTACCTCTCTCACCTACGTGCCTGTGGTCGCCTTGACGGGTGAAGGTGGGGAGGGAGGAGGGGACATCCGGGAGTCGGAGACTTCAGTGCCCAGGGCAGGCTGGCCTCCTCCTTCCTCTAGGGGCTTGGTCTGCGCTGAGTGGCAGCTTCACCCCTGGGATTACTCCAACTCTTACACGGACGGTGAGTGAGCCCGTTAGCAGAGGGCTTAAGGGAACAAATGGGCTGAGAGTGTAGCCCAAACAGGGCTCACACACTCTCGTCTCTACAGCTGGCCGACTTCAAGTGGAAAAGAAGGGTTTGGTCGCCGGCAGTCCAGAAAAACAAGACTGCCCCGGAGATCTCGGGGCCAGTCCTCTGAGGCTGTGCAAGGGGTGTGTGTGTGTGCGCGCGCACGCACACCCCCTTCTGTGGATCTACTAGAATACAACCACCCCACCTCACTCTTAGCTCGAAGGTGAGCAGCTGAGTCAGTCCATTTCATGACCCAATACATTCATTTTTTGTCGACTCAGCTTCAATGAAATCTGAGTGGGACTTTTGTCACTTGCAGAGAGGCTCCTGAAGAATACGGTCTCCATGTATAAGAATCTCAAAGAAAACTAAAGTCTCTAAGACTTTAGTCTTGGCAGGCCCCTCTCCGGCCTCACTGGGCCACAGCGCCCCCACCTGGCCTGTGCTCTTACCTCAGCAGAGGCGTGTTGCTCTGATTCAGGGCCTTGAAAGTCAGATAGCGCTCCCCAGCGCTCATCCGAGGCTTGTAGAAGCGCATCAGGCCCTCGAACTGCCTGTAGGAGATGCCAGCAGGCTTCTGGGGACAGAAAGGATGTCAACGTCAACACAGAAAAATACAGAGCCTGGACTGCCCCTTCCCTTGGGAAAACTACTCTGGGTGGCCAGCGCAGCCAGGACCCCAGGGTGCCCGGCTCCTTCCTGCCCTCCCAACATCAGGCCCAGGGGGGTGCCCAGGGCAAGGGGGAGGGAGCAGGGGCCCACTCCTTCCTACCCGCTGGCTGATGAGCAGGCGGTAGGCGTGCTGGATGGCGGTTCGCTTATGCAACAGCAAAGACTTGAACTTGCGCTTCTCGATGTCATTGAAGGTGTCAAACACCACAGCCAGAAGCTGTGAGGGAAAAGCAGAGAGACCTGGCTCCCATGCATGGCAGGACCTCAAGAAGTAGGGACTGTACCTCTGCCTCCAGAGGGCGCTCTTCCAGAAGGGGCTTGGAGTAACCCTCCTGCCTGCACCTCCTGGTGCAGTAGTTTGTCTCCAAGTCCCAGCAGGGGAAGGTCATGCATTGTCACTTGCAAATTTTCTCTCTTCAGATTCGTGAAGACATTATCATTCCATTTCCCCCGGGGACTTCTCTCTACCTACAGCTCCTCCCTGACTGGGCAGTCTCATGAAGTGAGAAGGAAGCAGGGAAGAGCATGCTGGGCCCTAAGCCCAGTTCAGCCCATGAGCACCCTGTGCCCTCCTGACCAAGGAGCGGGGAGGAGCATCACATGCCAGAAGCTGCCTCAGTTCCATGCCCTTGCTCCGTCCTGGTGGGTCACAGCTTCACGCACTGGCCCCTAAGGCCTGCCCCTTGAATGCACATCATTCTGGAACTGCCGAATTCCAAGGTCAGCGTGTTAACAACACAGTCTGCATTACCAGGGGCAATGGCAGGATGGGAGCAGAATCTGCAAGAAGCCTTTTTGGAAGCATTTTCTTTTTGTTTCAGAAATATTTGGGGAGACACTCTTGCCCTTCCCAGCCCTTCAAACTGCAGCTACCCCATGGTTTTTTTCCCTTTTAGTTTAAGAAAAGGTCAGCTAAGTTTTTCTGTAAAAAGCCAGATACCAACTATTTTAGGCTCTGAAGGCCAGATGGTCTCTGTTGAAACTATTCAACCCTGCAGTTGTAGCATGAAATCGGCCACCAAGGATGCGGAAACCAATGGGCGTGGCTGTGTGCCAATAAAACTTTATTTACAAATGCAGGCTTCGGCCCACAGGCTGTGGTTTGCAGACCCCTACCCTGAACTTTAACAAAGTAAAATAAATCAATTATACATAATACATTGCTATGATTCAAAACTAACTAGAGAATATAAAAATGATACTGTATATAAAAGCGATATCCGACACATTTCTTTTTGGTTTTGAGGAATTCAAAATTTTTTTTTCTTTTTTAAGACTTGCAACTTTTTAGATTTCGCACGTCTTCTCCAGAGAAAGCGTTTTCTATTTCTAGACGGGGCCTGACTACCACGATTGCTGTGAGACGGCTCTTCAGAAGTGTAAAAATAACGCGAGACTTGGTAAAAGCCTCTCCCTGATAATTCTGGCACTGACGCGTGGTCTTGGCCACGGCGGAACAGCGATGGGCCGATGGGAGGGACCCGCCTGGTGGCCGGCCGAGACTCCGTGAACACCTCCAGAGCGCCCAGTGTGCACAGGACTTCGCATGGTCCTTAACGGAGCGTGTCTGGCACTGCATTTTCTGACGGTTTGTGATAAATGGGGTGTGAATCCGCAGGCACCCCAGGGCGCGGGGGTGCTGGGACTGAGGGGTTAAGAGCAGGGCTTGGACTCAGGCCGGCTCGCCTGACGCCTCCGGCTGTGCAGCACGGGCACGTCACTCTGTCCATCCGGCCCTCAGTTTCCTCATGTGCACATCGAGAATCATACCCAGGCCTCCAGGGTTTCTGTGTTACATCATTTAATCCACTTTGCATGGTGCCTGGGTAAGGCTTCCTAAGTGCCAGCGTTGAGAGTTATTATATTGTGCATTTGCTGGGAGAATGAAAACGTCCCCGGGGACCCCTGGCTTAAACTCTAGAGCTGCCAGCAGCAATGACGGCAATAACCCAGGGAGGCTGCAGGGCGTTCCCCGCCACACTGCGCTTGACTGTGGTCTGGCTCCCCGGCCCCCTGCTGGTGGTGGTCCCTTCTTTTCCATTCCCATGGTGCCCGGCACTGTGCAGGCCACTGCAGCGGGGCATGAGACATGGCCACTCACCAGGTTCATGATGAAGTACAGCTCGATGGAGAGGTACACGATGAAGAAGACACAGGACCAGGGGTTCCGGGAGTAGGAAGGCATCATCACGTCTGGGAAGCTGCATTTGCGGAGTGTTACCCGCAGGGCCCCGTGTCTGCCTGCCTCCATCTCCTCTCGGGCATCTCCCATCTCTGCCTTCCCAGTCCCACCCCACCCTCCCCGACTCTCAGTCCACTGAGAGGCCACTCTTATTCCCCACAGCGCCCCCAGCCACTGGCTGGGCACTGGCAGAGGGCAGGAGCCAAAGCAGAGCTGAAACTCACTTGGCGGTGGTCAGAAGGACGAACAGACTGACGATGCTGCTCTCCAGGGTGCTGAAGTACTGTCCGGAAAAGGAGGCAGAAGGGCATGCTGGCGCCAGCCCGAGAGCAACGCCAGCCTGGAACGGGCCATGATGGGCCACCTGGAGCACCCAGCCCCTCTCCCTCCACACCCCACCAACTCTCCCTCCTCCCACAGAATCCCTGAGGGACGAGCAGACATGGAGGAAGAACTCCGCCTTCCTGAACCCTGCTTCTGGCAGAAGTAGACAAGAGACTTTGCGACTTTTCTCCCAGGGAATCACACACTTGCACAATTACCTTGACTCTCCCTCACTGAAACCTCCAAACATTCCCATGTTCCAAATCTGACCCTGGAAACATGATTCTCAGGATGGACTAACATGCCCCTAGCGCTCAAGGAAGGAAACGGCTCAAGTCTGGGTAACGGGGACCTTCAGGGGCCATGAGCAGTGATGAGAAGCCAGGCAGGGCCTCCCTTCCTAATGTAGGTAGGGAGCTGTTCCAGCCGCCTTGCCAAGGGGGAAAAGCCTCCCATAAAGAAACAGAGAAACATGGTGATTACTTACGGGGTCTGAAGGATTAGGGGAGAACAAGTAGAAACCTAGAAGGTAGTAGAAAACAGATTGAAAAGAGGGTTAGGGCAGAAGTCCCAAATCCAGATGTCAAAAGGGCTGGATCAATAAACATAAATGAGAGCAGTGGGCAGGGGGAAAGCAACAGGGAGCGGTGGGGACTGTGGCACTCTGAGGAACATGTGCTCTGCCTGATGGGAACAGGTGCTACTGGGCACTGGGTAAATGCAGCTATTCAGAAATGTGGCCCAAGTACCATCAAGTCTGGTATGAAAAGGGCAAGAAATCTGTATTTTTGTATAAAAAATCTAATTTTAAAATGTCAGCTCCAGATTTTCAGACCAAACAAAACTCATGCATTGGCTGGATTTGAAATCCAGACTGCCGGTTTGCAACCTCTGGTTTTGAGAACATGACGTCCAAGTAATAATTCCACAGGGGCCCCACGGTTCCCCCACAGCCAAGGCCCCTGGGATGGGGACACCGTCAACGTCTTCCCTCTCGGAACGGGCTACTCCCCTGGTCCCTCAAAATCCTGTAGGAGAAGTGAGAATGCCTGGCCTCAGGGTAAGTCAGCCCCACCTTGGAGCACAAGGAAGGTTCCTCTGAGAGTGGGTGGAAGAGGAGCCACAAGCTCAGGACAGATCAGTCACAAAGGCTGGGGGCGGGGGGTGTGTATGGGGGCGCGGGGGCTGGCCTTGGAGTCGGAGCACTGGGGTTCCACGGTCATGGGTGCACCTCGGGTCCCCTCCTCTCACCCCGGGACCCCGCCGTCTAAGCCCTAAGTCTGCCTGCAGGTGCCACACAAACACTTGGCTTCATCGGAAGAGGCGAGGCCTCCTCAGGGTGACGATGGCCGTGACCTCGCTTTTCTATCTAGTGACACTGAAGTGTGCAGACCCTAATGTGCTCCATATGCCAGAGAAACTCTGATGCGTGTCCACCGGGAAACACACGAGGGTGCTTACTGTGATGTGACTTGTGAGAGTGAAACATGCCACCCACAGAACGGACAAACAAATCTGGGTAGATTCACTCCACTCCATGGAAAGAACGAGTGACGGCTACACGGGCCAACATGAACACACAACAGATAACCAGTACTGAGCAAAGAGCACCTTGCAGAAGGGGACATGCTCATTATGTAATCATTTATACAAACTTCTTGAACATGCAAAGCAATAAGAGCATGTGCATGTTGCTTAAGGAAATGCAAATATAAAGTGAAACCATACGGACTCGCATGGCAACGCTGAGTTTATGACGCAGGTAGTCCCGGGGGGGGGGAAACTGAGCTCATAAGGGTATGAAGGGGGCTTCCACTTTACTTCTAGTTCTTCATTTCCTTAGTGGAAGTGCCTGGGTGTTTATATCATTTGCAGAACCTGTCTGAACTTCCAAAACTGTCCAGGTACAATTTTTCCCCCCGTGACTTTGCTTTCAGAGACCGCCTGGGCCTAGGGCGCAGGGAGCTCACCAAGGATGGCGAAAATGATCATGAAGAAGAGCAGCAGCAGGAGGATGTCCATGAAGGGCGGCAGGGACTGGAAGATCTGCCGAAGGTTGCTGGGGAGACACGGGGGCCAGGAGGGGTGAGTGAGGCGAGGCAGAGCAGGGCCCAAATACGCGCTTACAGAGACCGGGTCTGGTGCTCCTGACTCACTCAGTCCCACTGTGCCCCAGCTTGTGACATCATGGATAGCATTGTCCCGGGAGATTTCTACTCAGCAGGTGACCCGAAGAGGGGAGATGGGGGTAGCACCAACCGCCACCTCCTCCTGCCCACAGAGTTCAAGCAGGCGAGTGCACGCCAGAGAGGGAGGGAGCAGCAGGAGGCCAAGAGCACGGCCTCAGGTGCAAAGGTCGGCTTCCACAAGAAGTGGGACGCGTGAAGACAGTTTGGGGCTCCCTGGTTCTCAGACACTTGTGTCCAGCTTTGAGGATGGGCGCCAAGAATGAACTGCTGGCCCATTCTTATCAACACCCCAGCCAACAGACGCAGTCTTCAAAGCTAAGTTGAACCCTGGGCTGATGGTCTGGTTTGAGAGCAGTCCCCTGGTCTCGGGGGAGGCACCAGGACAGGCTGCCGAGTCATGTGGACTTTCTGGCAAGTTGCCTGCTTTAGGTGATGCTGCTGCTGTGTTTGGGCACATACTGTGCTTAGGGAGAGGGGCCAGGCCCAGAAAGCTGTGAGTGAGATGGGGTGGAGCCTGGGACCTGGAGTCAGGAGACCTAAACTTCAGCTGGAACCCCACTGTCCTCTCCGTGTGGGTCGAATGGCAGAGGGAAGAGTGTGTGCTAAGATTCTCCCAATGTGCGGGATGGACCATATTGCTACTGGACTCCCTGGGTCCTGCTCCGCTGGCTCAGAGGCCCATGCCGGGCCATGAAGAACCTGTGTGAGCAGCTCCTCCCCCCGGCCTTACCGCCGGACGCCACCGCAGTACCGACAGTCCACCAGGAAAATGCAGCGCAGCGCCCTGGTCACCCGCATGTGGGACGTCTGCCGTACCAACACCACGATGGCCTCGATGAACTGCACCACCAGCACAGAGGTCTGGGGGCGGAGAAGCACAGGGTACCGTCAGCTTCTCCACCCAGACACCCTCCCCAAAACCCTAAACTCAAGGCTGGCTAGATACTGCCCACTCTGGTCTGGAGGGGCCCATCCCTTCTCTCCGGGGCCCTCCCCCAACACCAAGCAGCCCATGGAGAAAAGCCCGAGGTTGCGGGCACCAATGTGTGTTCCCAGAACAGTGAACCCCAGAGGAGAGCTCCCAGCCAGCTGCTCAGACGGCATTCACGGGGCGAAACTGCCACTCTGCCCGGCCATGTCTACCTGCCCCTCCTTTCCACTCTCCTGACTCCACGGTGAAGACCCCTGAGGCAGGTGTGCAGAGCACCTTGATCTCTGATTCCTTGAACCCTTTCTCTGGACAGACAAGTGTGAGTGCTTTTTACACTGCAGAGCACCGCTCTGATGCATTCCTACTTGTGCTTCTCTCTGTTGCACAGAGAGAACGTGTACAATGCTGGCTACAGATCAGCGTGGGCTTGGAGGCCACGCAGACCTAGGGTTGAACCCCGTTCTCTCCGGGACGTAGATCCCGTTCTGTGCTGTCTGGCTGGATGAGAACTAGGAACAGTAATGCATCTCCCTCCAAGGCTACCGGTCCAGTGCTCAGCACGCCCCACATTCGGAACCACATTAGCTACTGTCACCATCACCGTGACCCTCCGGAGCACGGTGAGGGCAGAGACCCAAGGTCACACTTCAGAGCATGGGGGGATTTGGAACTGAACTGAAGAGACAGGCTTGAAGGTGACACGGGAGGAAAAAGCTACAAGGAGAGGGACACATCACCTTGACCATAGTCCGTCGGTGCCGGACGAAGGTGTGGAGGCCCAGCCACCGCAACTTCATGCAAAGTTCAAAGACGACCACCGTGAGGGCGAGCAGCTCCAGGGTCGCGTGGACCTGCAAGCGGAGGGCGTGCAGACGCGGCGTCAGCGGTCCCCTGTCCTCCCCACGGTCGACTACACCGCCTGCCTTTTCCTCTGAGGGTGGACAGAGTGGGTGGCACTGCCATCAGGGTGCTGCCCACCTGGAGCCGAGGTGCAGGCACTGGTCCCAAGGGAGGCAGCCGGACGGCGCCCTCCCTGGGATTTCCGAGGGAGCAGAATCACGGACGGACTGAGGACCCCAAGCAGGACCAGGGAGTCATCGCTGCGCCCGAGGCCCCCGTGACCTCCCAGGGCCTGCGTGTTTGAAATCCACTCCCATTGTCTGCCCTTCCAGAATGTTCCCTCTCAGGCTTGCTTTAGCTCGAGGACAGTTTCTGGTGCCTGCCCCCAGAGAGCAGGGGCTCCCGGCCGTGTGGACACTCACGTAAATGCCAAGCCGCAGCGCGGGGACGGCGGGGGCCTCACACAGGGACAGCAGCAGGAGGAGCAGGGCGGTGGACAGCTCCATCAGGTAGAAGAGGTGGTTGTGTGCGAAGAGGTAGGCCGCCAGCGCTTTGGCGTTCTTGGGGTGGGTGAAGAACTTGTCGTTATTCTCACCTTCCTGAAGAAACAAGAGCCACATGGTGGGCAAGTCTCTGAGACCCAGCACCAAGGATGCGCCGAGGGCCCGGCGGGGAAGGAAGGGCCTGGGCGGGTAAGAGAAGATTCAGACCAGAGCGGGAAGACGATGGAAATTCAGAAGTACTATGGCGGCAAAACTGCTCAGCACCCGAGCCTCCCCCTGGCCTGCTGAGGGGGCTAAAAGGACTGGTTCCGTCCAAAAAACCACTCGGAGGGATCAAAGGTTAAAAAGGGCAGGGAGAAGAGAGCAGTGGGCACACGTGGTCCCTTTGGAGGCCGAACCCTCACTCTCAGAAATGTCACTAGAATGTAAAGCTTGGCGGGGGAGGGGTGGGGGAGATTCTGGGGTAAACAGGCACAGCCCCCCACCCCACCCCCTGCTCCTCCTTGGGTAACACTGAGAAGTCCCTTCACCTTCTCCAGCTAGCAACGAGATAATGCCAGCCCTTCCTCACAGGGCTCCCCTAAGAATAAACTTAGGACAGTGTCTGGTACACACAGCAGGTGTTTAATAGATGCTTGGCAGGATGAACCATTTTTGCAAGAGACTGCTTCTCCGGGCCCAACCCAGGCCGGTGACTGTCTGGCAGCCAGGAAGTGGGGAGCTCTGACCTTGACTGTGGGTTGCAGGGTAACTGCGAGCAGATCACTTCCCTGAAGCTGGCTACGTCACGCCCTCATTACCAACAGACAAAGACCAACCGCAGACTCGGCAGTGGCAGGCCCCACAGAGGGAACAAACATCCCGGCAGTCAAACAGAGGGCAGGCGTGGCAAGCCTCGCTCTCGGTGCTGTGATCTGCGCACGGCTGTGGTTTTCTGCCACGGCCGCCGTGGCCGGGGGACACCCACGGTGGCCCGGAAGCCTCTGTTTTGGATTACTAAAAAAGTGCAATGCTTGGAAAAGCTCTTTGCGCGAATAGCCAGGAACGAAGGTCTGACTGGAGGAAACCGCGGCACGGGGCCTCGGCTTCTGCTGCGGGACTGGGAGCAGCCGCAGGAGGTGGGGAGGGCAGGCTCCACCAATAGGGACCGAGTGAAACAGGACCCGTGTCACTGCATTCTGACCCAGACCCCAAGAGAACACTGGCCTCGTTTCTCGGCTGCTGATCGTGAATGAGATTAAGAAAAACAAGAAGGCAGGCCAGTTGTCCGTGACTTCCAGGGCTTCTCTCTCTACTCCCTGGGACGGAAGCCCACACAGAAAAGGAGAATGTCTTGAAGGCCCTGTAACCACTGAGCATGTGGCTCCCGACAGGGAGGGAGTTAACAGATGAAGTTTGGGAAAAGGCACTGCAGGGGCCAGGCGTCCTTAAAGCAGTGAGGGGCCGGTGACCCAAGGACGGCAGCAGCCTGGCTCGGGGTCTGCGCCCGGCTCAGCTGTAGAGCAGGAAAAGGAAGACCGTCTGACCTGACAGCAGCTAAACCCGAGTTCTGCTTTGATTTTTTTTAAAAACAAATGCATTTTTGGTAAAAATCATGCAAACAATTCATAGGATTATGTAGAAGGTTGTGAAAACTCCATCAGCTAATCACCTTTAACATTGAGATGAACAACTTTCTGACATGGGTATCTGTGCAAAAACACGCAGACACAGGTATACACTGGTGGGTGGGTGGGTATGTGTGTGTGTGTGTATACACACAGTTCTATATGTGCCCAGCATGTGGGTGTGAATGTTATACAAAAATTGCCAAGCCGCCACTGTTGTTCGGTCACCTCTTTTCCTCCAGCTGCCGGCTCATTTGCAAGGAGTACACGTGGTATCTATTCAAATAGAAATGAGGCAACGACATATAGAAGAAAGGAGGTGATTTGGAGGCTGGACAGACACGGTTTAAGCCCACGCTCTGGGACTTAGTAGCTGGGTGGCTTTGGACTCAGCCCCTCTGAGTCTCAGTCTATAAAGTGGGAGGTGACTGAACCACCTCCAAGGGCTGTTAGAAAAATTAGCAGTGCCCACTGAAATATTTTTATGACCAATAGTCCCACCTGCTTAAGGAAAGAAGAAATTATGGGTTTCTGAAAAAACCCCAGGTCGTTCTAATTCTGGGTTTTCACCCACCCCATCCTCTTATCTAGCACCTGTTCAACCTGGGAGAAGGTGACAGTACCTAGAGGGACCCTGGGTGACCCTGTCAGGTCAGCAGGCAGGCCAAAACGCCCCTCAAACATTTCTATAGCCTTATCCTGAACCAACTCTCACTGTTGAGGAGCACAGCTGTGACACTGTAGAAAACCTGGAAACATACAGCCAACTGAACGACCACCAGAAAAACGTCTGGTTTTAATTGAACTTTAAAAAAATAAAACAGACCAGGGACTTCCGCCAAGATGGAGGCATAGGTGGAGACACCGTGCCTTCTCACACAACCAAGTTTAGAGACAACTAAATATTAGCAACAGAAAACACAGCCAGAACACAGAAAATTGAACTTTTTGGAAGTCTGATAACAACAAATTCTTCAGCCTGACCGGTAAGAGAGGCGAAACCAGCAGCTGGCGGAGCGGGGTTGCACAGGAAAACTCGGTCAGACGGACTCAGGCGTGTGGAATCCAAGCGCAGGGTTGGACCTAGTGAGCGACCGAGCGAGCAACCGCGGGGAAACAGCGAGGGAGCAGGGCTGCGGGTTGACTGTGGTGGCGCATTTGTGCACAGATAGACAAGCAAGGGAGTGGGCGATTAGACCGGGACCCAGCGGGTCCTCACAGCAAGCAGCAGGGAGGGCGCCGCCATTTCCCTGCACTGACCACGCCCCTACATACAGCGTCACAACCCAGCAACCTGGGAGTCCAAGGCTCCGCTCCTCACACTTAAACGGCACGAGCACACCAAAAATGGCTCAAGAAGATCTCAAAGCCCCAGAGCCTATAAATCTAAACGATGAAGAAATAGCAAAACTCTCAGACGCAGTTTAAAACACTGGTGATCGGGATCCTCACAGAACTGGTTGATTATAGCCACAAATTAGACAAATATATGAAGGCGAAACTCATTGAAATGAATGGAATTGCACAGGACACCAATAGCAATGAAAAGGAAACTGGGACTCAAATCAATGGAGTGGACCAGAAGAAAGCAAATAATGGCCAAACACAAAAGAGTCAAGAAGCAAGAATTCAAAGAAATGAGGAGAGTCTTAGGAACCTCCAGGACATCTTTAAATGCTCCAACATCCAAATTATAGGGGTACCAGAAGGGGGAAAGGCACAGCCACCAGTGGAAAACTTATTTGAACAAATAATAAAGGAGAATTTCCCCAATCTGGCACAGGAAATAGACTTCCAGGAAATCCAGGAAGCTCAGAGAGTACCAAAGAAGTTGGACCCAAGAAGGAACACACCAAGGCACATCATCATTACATTAGCCAAAATTAAAATGAAGGAGAGACTCTTAGAAGCAGCAAGAGGTAAGGGGACAGTCGCCTACAAAGGAGTCCCCATCAGACTGTCAGCAGATTTCTCAAAAGAGACCTTATAGGCAAGAAGGGGCTGGAAAGAGGTATTCCAAGTCATGAAATCCAAAGATCTACAACCAAGATTGCTCTATCCAGCAAAACTTTCATTTAGAATGGAAGGACAGATAAAGTGCTTCTCAGATAAGATCAAATTCAAGGAGTTCATCATCACCAAGCCCTTATTATATGAAATGTTAAAGGGACTTATCAAAGAAAAAGAAGTTCCTGGCTGGTGTAGCTCAGTGGACTGAGTGCGGGCCGGCGAACCAGACAATCGCGGTTCGATTCCCAGTCAGGGCACATGCCTGGGTTGCAGGCCGGTTCCCTGCAGGCCACTTCCCAGCAGGGGACACATGAAAAGCAACCATACATTGATATTTCTCTCCCTCTCTCCTTCCCTTCCCCTCTAAAGATAAAATAAATAAAATCTTAAAAAAAAAAAAGAAAAAGAAGTTAAAGAAACATGAACAGTGAAAGGACAACAAACTCACAGTTATTAACAACCACACCTAAAACAAAAGCAAACTAAAAGGACAGCTAGATCAGGAGTGGAAACATAGAAATGAAGATCTCAAGGAGGGTTAGCAACAGAGGAGTGAGAGGAGGAGAAGGGGGGAGAAGGTACAGAAAATAAGTAGCATAGACAGTAGATAGAAAATAGATGGGGGGGGCAAGAATAGTATGGGAAATACAGAATCTAAAGAACTTGAGACACATGTCATAAACTAAAGGGGGGTAATGGTGGGGATGGGGGAACCCATCCAGCGGAACCCAGTGGGTCCACCCAGTGCTTGCCTTAGGTGAAAGTGTTTTACACTCCCTTTGTACTTAAACTTACTGGAACAAGCATGTACTACTTTTATAAAAAAGGCTTATTTTTGTTAAGAACAACAATGCCCAAATATGAAACAAGAAACACAAAAGCCGCAGCAAGTTAAATAGGAAAGGAATAAAGACCTCTACGCTCCCCACGCTAGGTCAGCAAACCCCTGCTACAGTATGAAGTATATGAAGGAGAACTCCCTCCCGAGAAGTGGAGGGAGTGCCTTTGAGGAGGGAAGGTGAGGCAGAGAACACCAAGGGCACAGGCTCAGGGAGACTCACGGGCAGGTGGAGCCACAACTGGGGTCCCGTGACAAGCCCGTGGCCATCGCCCTTCCCATACAGGCACCGTTGGCTCTCCCTGTTGTACAGGTGAGAGGCTCGCGCAGAGAACAGAAGCTGCAACTGAATTTCTGGGCATCGAACAGAGCCCCGGCTCCCTACTCCACCCACAGGTACCGAGAAAGGCCAGGTCCCGGCCCAGGGGCACTCACCTGGAGGTAGATTGCTGCCTCTTGGTAATTCATCTCCCAGTTGTGTCCAGGGGGGCTGGACGGGAAACTCTCACCCTCTGAGCTCAGGCTGGGGGGCCGGAAGTCGTGGATGGCATGGCTGCCTCCATCTGCATAGGAGGAGAGAGAGGTTCACGTACGACCCCAGGCGTAAGGGAAGAAAGCCACTGTTCCCTAGAAGAAGCAAAGGCTGGCAGGCGCCTCTCGCACTCAGACTGGTCTACCATTATCGGTAAGTCGGCACTCCACTCCGTGTGGTAAGAAAGCCAAAATTCGCGTGGCTAGTTAAAAATATTTTTCCTGCTCTTGTTAAGTGAAGAAAGCAAGTGCAAAAAAGTGCATACATCTTGTGTGTAAAAAAGGGAAGAAACAAGAAAACATACTGCTATCCACTTTACCAGAGGAAAAAACACAGGGGAAAGCGAAATTAGAACTCAGTGAGACTGGGTACCTACAAGGGAGGTGGGGTGGAGGTAAAAGAGTCACGGAAAGGAAGTGATCTTTTTGTTTACTTTTGACTTTTGGAGACATGTTAGTATTCCACTGAGTGAAAGAATAAAATAATTGGATTTGTTCCTTGGTATAAGGTTGTCCGTTGCTGCTGCCTGCCGACACCAATGTCCTTTCTTCTCTGTTTCCCCATCTGCCTTTGGAGAACATTCTTTGGGCCAGGCTCTGGCTGATTCCACCCCTTGGCTCCGGGCAGGTGGCACAGGTGTGCTGAGAGCCCCTCACCTCCCCTGGACAGGGCCGGGTGCAGGCATGCGTGCTGACCCAAGTCTGGCCAGCTGCTGCTGGTGGCTGCCACCGCCACCGCACGGGGAAAGCCTGCGTGAGAAGGATGCCGCCGCAGAACGCGACAGTGACAGAGGCACCCACCCGGGCTGCAACCCCGGGATCAGGCCCGGCCCGAAATCTACCTCTGAGCACTTCCAAAACCTGAGCCCGTAAAGATCCTTTTATACTTATGCCTGCTTGTCACAATACTTAGTGTCTCCACTGACACACGGTCATCAGTGACACCTAGAAATGACTGTCAGCTCGTGAACTTATTGGGAAGAGGAACATCTACCCTGAGAATTCGGTTCCCCACAATCCACACTCCTAATAACCCCGGGATAGGAGGAGGAAGAACCCTGCTTCAAACCTACTCTGTGGCAGGTTTTACTTTATTTCCGAAGACAGCCACCACATTCCCTTTCGCCCCCCCTGCCCTTCTGGAACCTCCCGCTTCCCTACCAAGAGGTGGAGCCTGTGTCCCTTGTGGCACCTTGGTCAATAGAGCATGGAGGACGTGAGGCTTACGGCTTCTGAGGTCATACAAATGCTGCCCCCCTTTTCTCCTGGGACCCTTGCCCTTGGAACCGTGCTGAGGAGAGGCCCATGAGAAGAATCAGGTCCCTCGTCCACGGCCCGGCGGAGCCGTTAGCCCACAGCCAGTGCCGACCTGCCCGCCAGCTGAATGAGCCGTCCCTGCTCCGGTGAGGGGTCCAGACTGGCACGGGGGGGGTGCCCCCACTGCAAGTTCACAAGCGAAGTAAACGAGGCTGTTGTTGTAAGGCACTAGGTTTCGGGGCGATGTGTTACATGGCAATCGAATTATAATGTACATAACTGAGTACTCTATACCAATCAACCTATTTATTCCCACGGCAGTCCTGTGAAGAAGATAATAGTATTCATTGCAATTCAGACGTGAGGAAGTAAAAGGCTAAGGACCTCTCTGACGTCGTGCAGCTGGCGAGACACGGGGCTGGGGGGCCGATCCAGGCTGGGTAGCTCCTAAGTGGGAGGCTGCATGTCTCTCAAGAACTGGAAACCCAAAAAAGGTGACTACAGGGTAGTGCTAAAGGACCAAAAATTAGCAGCAGAAGCCACCAAAATGGAGTTACAAGCAGGGCAAGGGGCGCTGGCTGCCGCGTGCACTCAGGAATGCTGGCCCGTCGCTGCCCAAGGCCAACATCCCCTGACTGCGATCCCAGTGCCCCCATTTCTGAAAGAACTAAGCCCTAGGCGCAGACAGGAGGTCAAATCACCTTCCTCGATCTGCCCGCGCAGGCCAGGGAAGCTGGAGCCTCAACGTGACCGGGAAGCAGGCGCAGCCACGGGCAGGCAGCTGGACGGTGCCGCCCTCTCTCGCCCACCACGGCAGGAGCCAGGGTCCGAGACACGGCCAGCCTAGGTAACACCGTAACAGTGTCGGTTCGGGGTGCAGGCGTCCCGTCACTTTCCCAGCACTCACTGCCCCCTCTGCCCTCTGATTTGTTTTCAGATCTTTAACTGGTCGCCTTCTGCCACCTCCCAGGGGTCCGCCAACATTGCCCTCTCACAGGCTGCCTTTGGCTCCCCCTGGGAGGTCACGTCACTGTCACCCTCTGTCTCCCTCACACTGCTTTCTGCTTCCTTCTGGGGCTGGACCCCTTCCCCGTTCCCTACTGTGTGCTCAATTACCTGTGGACCTGTTCAGTGCCTGTTTCCCTTGGGATGTCAGCCCGTGAGGGCAGGGACTTTTGTCTTATTCGCCGAGGAGTCCTGAGAGCCCAGAGCGGTCTCAGGCACGAGGTAGCAAGTGCTGACAAACACCTCTGGAAGGGAAGCTCTTGCACACTCCTGTGCGGATGCTTAAACGTGGCCAGCGGCCGGAGGGCACAGCGGGTGTGACAAGCCGAGCCTCCAGCCAGCGTGCAGGGGCCCGAGGGCGTTCAGAAGGGGCTGACACGACCTCTTTGCAAGTTTCTAAAGATCATTCTTTTAAAAACCTGCTGAAGAGCGACTATTTTGAATAGGAGTAATTCAGAGCAGAGCCTCAAACAGAAAAGAAAGGAAAAATATGACCGGAACTACTGAGGAGAATGGAGAACTCTCCCCTCCGAGGCGGACTTTGTTCAGGGCTCTGACCATTCAACCCTGCACTTGCTCAGAACACAGACCCTGGCTTGCGGACTTGGTACCAAAAGGCAAAGCCTGATAGCTTGTTTGAGGGCTGAAAGGCCCTGGTGACAAGGGAGTCTAGGGCCACTGAGGGGCTTTTCAAGAAAGCCACAGGTGACTTCAAAGAGCCCCCTTCGCGCAGGCCCGAGAGCATTTAGGGGTTACAGAAAGGGCGCAAATGAAGGCAGGGAGCTGCGTCCCTCCCATTCCTTTCATCTGCAGCCTCAAGCAGAGGCAGCAGCCTCATGGCCAAGTTCAGAAGCACTCTGAATGCACCGCCGGCAGTGGGGCTGGGGGCACCGTGTGGGGTCCCCCCCCTGCTCTGTTTCCCACTTCCTCGGTTGGAGAAGTGGCCAGAGAGGCGATGGCCGTGCTCCAAATCCCAAGTGCTTTATTGCTGTAGTTACAAGGAATGCCCAAGGCTCCGCAGTCCCCTAAAGGGAAAGGACAATTATGGCCTTTAAAGGAGAAGGCGGGAGGCACAAGGGGCCCCAGGAGAGGTCAGAGGGCCACCTGAGTGTGGCCTGGAATTCAGGCCGGGTAGAGTCAGGAGCATGAGGTGTCCCGGGGAACCGATCTGAGGGGCTTCTTCAGAATGAACTCCCTCAAAGCTGGAAGTGAGGGCTATGGGGAGTTCTCCCCGACCCCGTTCCCCTGGTCACCACTGGGCACAAAGTCCCAGGGGATGGTGTGTCCCCACATTCCTGTTGAAACCCAATGGGTCTGCCCTAGGTCGTCTGCCTAGGGAGTCTCACAGCCCTGTGACAATTAGAACCTACCTGCCCCGGTGACCTGCTGCCCTGCCCTGATCTACTCCTGCCCACCTGGACCAAATCTGCACTTCCTGGGAGAAACGGTCCCTAGGTAGGTGACTGGTGCCGGATCCTTTCTGAGCGTCCCCTGCTCCTACGGAGTCCTGGCCACCAAAGCGGTCAGGTGGGCTCTCACCGCAGCCCCCCGGGTCCAGCCCCATCCCGTGTGCTGGGCCGGCCCTCGCACCTGTGACCGTTAGAGACTAAGTAAGAATCGGCCTGGGCGACCTAGGATTCAGGCGCCGTCCTTACCCGAGGCGGGGCACCTTCTCCCTGGACAGCTGGAAAGGCAAGGTGGAGTCTCACCACAAAGGCCCCGCTCCAGCAGACAGCATGGCCTCACCACGGGGCTGTCGGGGAGCTGGCTCTCTGCCGCCTCCTCCAGGAATACGACCGCTGGCCCTTGCCTCAGCATTTCCGCCTCGGCAGCGGGGCTGGACATGGAGGGAAGAACGGAAAAGGCCCCCAGCGGGCAGGAGGGTGGGGGAAGCTGTCGTCCTGGCCCTCGCAGCAAGCCGGTTTTTCTGCTGGCAGGAGGTTTCAAAGGGCCAGAGGAGGCTGACCAGGAACATTCCTGGCAACCAGGAAGATTCCGCTCTGCGCCTCCGGGGAAAGTTCCCCGATGGGAAACATCTAGTTCGGCACTTCTGGTGCCCTGGGCAGAGAGCACTCGTGTGAAACCCAGCCTTTTCCAGGCCCGAGACCTCAGCCACTAAAGATTTATACAATACCTAGCCCTTAACTACGCTCCCTGAAGCCTGGCAATTGGCCCAGGGAGGTGAACTAAAATCACTGGCAGGAGAAGAAACTAAAAAAAACACACAAACCACCCCTGACAGCCACGAGAATACAAAACAATACCAGAAACTCTGCCTCAAAGTGGGAGAGAAGTTCCCCATCCGGAGGACAGGCAGACAAACCAGGATGACCTGTTTGCACAGATGGCGACGCTGATGTAACAGGGCCCAGACGCTCCCTGCAAAACAGCTGGCTGCTTTGCATGCAGCCTCTGAAACGGCCCTGCAGGGAATCCAAGGGTTCCGTTCGCTGGAGCACAGCGTGCAGCAGCGTCCTGGTGGTGCTGGGTAAATAGAAACAGTTTCCATATGCCGGCCATAAAACTGCACCAGGGAGGACAGGGAAAGAACAGGCAGAGGGAGGGCCTCTGCGACCCACCTCCCACCCAGTGAGTGCAGAGTCTGCTGGGCTGGGTAAGCCACTGGGGCCTTCGTTTGGGGCCTGGGGCGGGAGGCTGCTTTGGATACAAGGCCTATGAGCTCCCTCCTCATGGGAGGCAGCTCTGATCAGAAAGAATGCAAGGCAATGATTGCTCTGGGCAAGTTTATACTGAGGATGCAACTTGCAAC